TAAATTTCAAATGTTGACAGAACTCGTAAAAAAACGTGAAAATGTGATACTAATGAATAATACTAAAATTAATTACTTCGCAATCATAATAATATCATAAAATATACCTACTTAGTAATATTATAGGCTGACAGACCAGGTCTATCTTCGCTCATAATCGATTTTCATAAACAATGATTTTATATCATTAAATTCAAATTTAATACTATCCATGACAGTGTAACCTACTATACAACAAAGTGACATCCACTTACCCACTGTTTTCATTGAATTTATCATACTTGTAATTTTGTATTATCATGAAAATATTATAAAAATGTACAATATACCTAATTTAATCTCAACAATTTAATATACATGCTATAATAACTCTTTTAATGTTCACAGAAAGTATATCACCTCTTCTCCATACAACACGTATTAATAGAATAAAATTGCGTATTTTGTTGATAGATTACAATTTTCGGATTGCGAGGAATTAAAAGAATCTGGTTGGGAGAGCAGCGTGGCCAGAGAAAAAGTGTTTGAGGAATTAATGTTACAGGATAACATCTCAAGCTTGGAAGACATTCTGAGAATATTGGGTTCCACTCGCGGAGGAGAATGGCAAATTTTTAGGGACAGGGCTAACGATTTTGTCAACACGATCAATCTTGGTAAGTTAAAATTAAAGGGATATGAAACATTGATTAAAATACTATGGTTATCGAAATTCCTGTACAATCATAACCACATTTAAGAATTGCAATTTTCTTAAAAATAAAAAAAAACTATTATTAAGATGAAGATAAAGAAAAAGACAAAGACTTTTAATACAAAAACTTTTGACTACCAAGTAGGTACCTACTTTTTGGTTTCTTCAGAAGCCAATAAATAAATTGACTTGAAAGACTTGTATCAATTACCTATATACTAGTGGTTTAATAGGCACTTGTATGTTTTTTTAGTTTGATTAATAGTCTTGAATATTGAAGGAGTTTTCTGGTAACGAAATGAGTTAGTTATTTGTACTTGGTTGAGACAAAAGCAAAAATTCTCAGTGCCATATTTTTTTTGAACTATTTGTAGATATTTTAATTTTTTTACTTTTTGATTTCTGTTACAATTTTAGGTTTTAACTTTTAAGCCGAAAAATCTTGAAAATATAGTTCAAGGTAAAATTTTACCGAAACATAAAAATCTCAAAAAAAAACATATCAATATTTTTATCTAGTAAAAATGTTGATGATATATTTTTTTAAATTGTATTTATTTATTTTGTTGAAATTTCAAAAATGTTATTCATGGGGACTTGAAACATTTCATTACTATGTATATAACTATATATTTTACACAATGACATTTTCAAAATATTTCGATTAATATAAAGTTATTTAAACCAGACCATGGAACGTTGGAACATGTTAATGACAGCTAGATTATAAAAATTATAATAAATATATATTAGTATATGCAATTTGTTTTTTAATTTGAATTACTTCAACTTACTGTATTACTAATAGAAAAGTAAATTACTAATTGCCATATAGTTAATATTATATATTAACTGCACACAATAGTAACCCGTGCTCAGTGCAATAAAGTAATATAATTGTTGTATTCCACCCGCCACTTTAACAATGTTTTTTGCTTTTAATAGTGATTTATCTAAATTTACCTATTTATAATTTTGTTATACAGAGTTATGAAATATTTGTGTAATATTTTAATTTAGCTACATTAATTACATCGTTAAATATTGAATTAGTTATTATACATTTCGGTATAATAATTTGTTTATTGAAATTATTTTTTTACAGGAGTTTTTGATTTTATTGAAAGAACGTGGACGATATGGACAAATAATCCCTTGACCAATCCTCCTATTATAAAGTTGCCTTTAAAATTCACGACTTTCATCAGTCCTACTACGGATATAGGAACTGAGAACCATCCATATATTCACAAAATTATGTCAGGAGTTTCTGATATTTATAAAAATAGTTTAGATAAGTTTAAAAAAATGTTTGATATAAGATTATATTAATACAAATTTTAAACTTTAATTTTACAATAGCGTTCATGTTTTTCACGTTTAATTACTTATGAACTATAACAATTATGGAATTAATAAAGTATAAACTAATAACCAATATCGGGTATCTATAGTTATATATTTATGAATAAAAATTGCTGCATGATGTAAATTTAACGTAAATAAAAATATGTACACGTGGGTTATGTAATATTTAGGTAAATATAGGTCAATAAAGGTCTCAATTAATTTCACTAATTTAACTCTGATACTACTTAAGTATATAAGTACATTGTACCTATGTTAATTTATTAAGATTTATAAGCTTTAATTTTCTTAATGTAATTAAATACAACATTAGCATATGGTAACAACTATATGTTTTTATTTTGTAATATTACAGGTTCTTTTCTTATCTTATACACATTTAAATTAATAATATAATACATAAACATTGCAAATATTTATAATATATCGTAAAATATCTGAATAAATTCTGATAAAGAACATTTGGATGGTATTCAAAACAAAGAGGAAGTCAAGAATTGATATAACCCCCAGCTCAGTATGGGTACGAGATACCCATGTGTAGGTTTATATGTTACCACTTACCATCAATGATGTACTTTCAATTAAGTTTAGGCTCCGTTAAAAAATAACCAGTTGAATTGATGTTCTAGGATTTGCTTCGTTTAAGAGTATTGACCAAATACGACTTATTATAATTGGGAACAATTTTTTTTGTGATTGAAATTTTTAATTGATATTTTACATGTGCATTTTTAATACGGTTCTTTAATGGAGATCATAATTTTTGAATTAACGGGGCTAGCACCTCTGTAGAGGCTACAGCACCACGCCACACCATTATTGATTCACAATATCATAACATGTACATTGTACATATAACACATTTACTACGGCGCTTTGGGTAGGCAATTTATAATTATGGTAATAATCATATTATATTTTATCAGTCATTCGTATCATAAGAATAATTTTCTGGGGGACGGAGTGGCCGAGCGGTCTAAGGCGTCGTTTGCGGCGCAGGTTCGATTCCTTGGTCACGGGTGGCATTTTTATTCGGGCAAGTCACGGTGTCCGGAGAACAAGTGCCGCCATCCCCCACCCGGGCATGGCAGATACCTACGGATGCCCAATCAAAAGTTCTGCCAAACACAAACACTCACGTGTAAAAATCCACCACTTCAAAACATTACCACCACCACCACAATACAACCCTACTAACAGCTAATGGCCATAGATGCCGGGCTTAAGGATCAATAAAAAAAAAAAAAAAAAAAATAATTTTCTATAATTTTTGTGCTAACCAAATTATCATAATTTGGAGATTCTTATAGCACTAATAGAAAACACGATGAGTTCCTGGAATGATAATTAGGGTCAATTTCATGTGTTGCTCTTGCAGTCATGCTTGTGTCTTACTTTTTTCGTGACGCTTCGTAGAGACATGATGAATTAATATGATACGAAATTTATTATAAAATTGCGATTGCTGCGATATAAGTCGTTCGTCGTTGGGTTTATCCAATCTTAATTTTTATGCTAAGTAATTTTAACAAAAATGTAACGTATTATTACGTCCATGTCGCATCATAATTATTTTTGCTTTTCAACCATCCATTTTCGAAAATTATCTTATTATCCGATATAAATCTTTTAAAAACGTGTTTCTGCTGCCGTTAAAAACCTAATATTAGTGTGAGACGTGAGTCTATATACCGTTCAATAATAATTATATTTTATTATCTTATATAGTGCAATTATTGTACTATAACAATTATAATAACTTGGAGAGAAGTTATGCCATTTCAACTTTCAAGTAAGTGTATTAACCTTGTGTGTATTAAATATAACATAGTAAAGATAATTTTAAAAGATGTTTCAGTTTTTTCTAAAACGTGGGTTTTCGAAAAACACTTTTGGGTTTTACATATTGATTATAAGTTGTCTCGTTAACTAATTGTAATGAATCTCTTGTACTCTATACTAACAAATAACTGTAAGACATTATTTATACAAACGACCAGTTTATTACGACTTATTGGGTAATAATAATCTATACTGTGCCATTTTTCTGTGTAACTCCACGCGACACCCTGCCTTAGGGGAACCGGTTTCGATAGCAGGATGATGTCTCTCGTGTCACAGAGTTTAGTAACTGAAGAAAATCGTCTGTCCATCGAAACCGAATTTTCAGCAGTTTAAAGAACATTAAAGGCAGACAGTGAAAATAGCAGCACAATGATGTATTTCAAGTGTTTATAATAGCCTGGCGTAGAAAATAATCCCAGAACCTACACGAGTTAATATTGCAATTGATAATTAACTGGATTGTTTGGTAAATTATCTAATATACGTCTTATAGGTACAAAAATGTTAAGGCTATAAAACTAAAATATTTTGTATATATTTTTAAATTTTAAGTTATTTGAATAATAACTATTGTATTGCTCAATAACAAAAAATGAACCATAAAAAATGTTGACTAAATTAGTTTTTTTATAGTTAATTATTTAAATGTTCTAAAAAAATACTAAGACTAACCAATCTATAAAAAAACTACACGTATAAGAAGTGCAAATTTAGATATAATGATTCCCAATTTATTGAGGTAAAATATACAAACTTCAAAATCAGTTTTTTTTTAAAAATCTTTATCATAACTTAATTTCAGTCCTTTCCATGTAATATATATTATACATATAGATAACATATACCTACTAATTTATTAATCATTTAATTTTTATTGAACCTAATATGAAAAATAAAATATCTTCATAATAATTTTGTAGTCCGTATAATAGTGTATTCGATTAATACAATTCAATCAAGTTTATAATATTCGTTTTAAAATTACACCAGAAAGACAACATGGTTTTAATTTAACACATTCATATTTAAATGTTTTTGCTATCCATTAATCTTACTTCAACTACAGTAAGTATTTGTAATTTTGACCGTAAAAACGATTCTGCAACAAATGTTTGAAAACAACATGAGGTAATTTGGTTAATTCGTAAATTGTTTGAAACGAATTATTGTGCTTATTGTAGCGTTGAAAATATTAACAACCTATCTGTTGTTTAGTATTTATTTTGTTTTTAGCTCACAGTTGCGTGGACAAAATTTCTCCAATCAAACTAGGTTTTGTTTAAATTACGTTCAAGCATAGCTAAATTTTAGTAAATTTATAATAGTCTGTGACCGAAATGAGTCGTAAATATATTTTCTATACCTACTAATTTAGATAATAGTGTATAATAGATATTCAAACTCATTTTCTCGCTTTGAAAAAAAAACAAGTTTAATACTCGATCAAATTGAAAAGGGTAAATTCAATTTAGATTCTGAGCGGAGCGATGAATGTATTGGTTTTACAATGATGTGTGTTTTTTTTTATATTTTTATATTTTTATATTTTTTTTTGTGTCTGTCATCACGTTTTGGGACAGTTAAAGTGCTTCGATTTTCTTCAATAGTACCTTTTCTGATAGGAAAATGAATCTAATTGGTACTTTGGGGGGTCAAAAGTAAACATTTTCCAGTAGTTTTCACAAGCGCGCGGGAAAACAACATAAAAATTAATGAAAAAACGGGGAATTTTTACGCAAAATCGATTTTTCGAAAAATCGAATTTGGTTTTTGGTGTAACTTTAAAACAAATGACCGTAGACCCTTGAAATTTTCACTGGTTGTTATATTTGCATTTTCTATACACGATAACATTTTCAAAATATTTTGATTTATTTTGAACTGTTTAGGACATTTTCATTTTCCATTTTTTTTTTAGTTTTTTTTCTAAAAATATCAATAAATTTTATTGTGGTTGCGAAAGCTTGAAAATTAATAGAAGGCTCCTAATATGTTGTTTCAAAGGCAGATGAAAAATATTAAAAATCCTTAGTCACAATTTTTTTTTATAAGCATTTAAGTTCAAAAATTGACAAAATATGGAAAAATCACGAAAATTAGCAAATTATTTTGAGTTAAGAATTCGTCAAAATTTTTCTTTTTAAATCTAAGATTTGAAATGAAACACAAGATTCCTTATAAGATTATCTAACCTTTATCAATAAAAAAATCTCTACCGGACAGTCAAGTTAAATTGTTATGAGCGTTTGAAATTCAAATTTTTACAACAATTGGATATTCACTCGATTACTCATGTAGCGATTTCTTTATTTGTTGCAATTCAAAAACGAACAACTGTAGATACATGAACATTTCACTGAATGTTTAAATTAGCATTTTCTATACACCATACAATTTTGAAAATATTTGACTCTTTTTGAGCTGTTTATGGACATTTACAGCTTTCAATTTTTTTTAGTTTTTTTTCTATAAATATCAATAAGTTTTATCTGTTGGGCCAAAAAGTGTAAAAAATTTAATACAAGGCTCCTGATTATATTGTACAATATCAGGTGAAAAAATATTAAAAATACATAGGCACGATTTTTTTTTATAAGCATTTAAGTTGGTTATTTTGACAAAACTTATCAAATCTCGAAAATTATCAATCGTTGGAATTAAAAAATTATAAAATGTTCAGTTTTTATAGCTAAGGATTGAAAATTTAAAAAAAGGTTCTCATAAATAATTCATACTGTAACCAAAAATCTAAAAAATATATAAACACACTTATTTTTACAGACATTTTAATTTCAAATTTAGACAAAATTTCATGTTTAAACCAAGAATTACGATTTTAGTTATTTTGTTGTGATTGAATAATATTATTCGTGGGTACTTGAAACTTCTAAAGTGTACTATTATATATCTATGCTAGTATCACGGTTTTTGGTGATGTATAACGCGTTATAAGTATCTAATGGATATTGTGATATGATTAATTTGGAATTTATTATAGGTACCTATTATAGGTCAATTTTTTGTTTAATACCATAAATATGTATATAATATGTCTTATACCTAGAAGGACATACCGTCTCCGCTCAGAATCGTTTTTCTTATACAATGATATTATATCATTGAATTCAAATTTAATACCATCCATTATACAGTGACCCACTTGTAACCTACTGTACAGCAGAGCGACACCCACTTGCCCACCTTTTTTAAGTTGATAATATTGCCGTTGTAGGTTGTTTATTTAATTGTTCAGTTTACAATTTTTTCAAACGGCGTTTAAGTCTCCGCCGTACTTTTGGATACACACATAGTCACATACAACGGAGATACGTCGGACCCAGTTGTGAATTGAGTCGGTTGCAACTTGCAAACGTATATAAATGTATATAATCAGGTATTATTAATTATTCCCCTTTTTGCACAATCATTCGAGTGGAACGTAGAATGACGTAGAATAGTAGGTACATACAACATACATATTAATTAGTGAGCTTCGCATGGGTATTCTGATACTAAAAACATATTAAACGTGTAAGGCGAAACCACGTGTTGGAACACAAACGGAAATATTCAGAAATTACTTGGAAAAAAATATAACGTAGGTAAATTAGTACAAATTATAAATATGAACGGAGACGATTTACCATCTGCACGTGTGTGTGTGTGTGTGTGTGTGTGTGTGTGTGACGTGTGTGTGTGTGTGTGTGTGGTGTGTGTGTGTGTGTGTGTGTGTGTGTGTGTGTGTGTGTGTGTGTGTAGTGCGTAGCATATAATATATACCTACGTTGCGCTTTTCACGTTACTCCTGTTGATGGGCAGTTATGAAAAAAATCGCTTTTTTTTCATATAAGGTCAGGCATGCGTTTAATTAGGAACAAACCGGATTTATAATATTACAGTGTTTACACTATTTATAGTGGTTTTGTAGTAGTCTTGAACCTTGATCATAAACTTTATTGCGTGACGTACCTAGTCCTTGAACGTACGAATTTCTTCGCGTCGATTAAACTGCAGTCCTCAAGCGTGTACATAGAGATCCAGAGAACATTAAAATCGCGTTAAACACAGTCTGCTTGAACGATAATAATATGAAAAAAAAATCATAAGCACCATAACGCTGTGACTCAATAACGATATCGCACGCTGCCCGATATTCGACTCTGATAAACACGATTACCAATGTTTTATTAGGGACCCACGTCCTTTAGAGTTGGCAATTTGTAAAAATAATCTTACCACGAGACTTGTCATAGTTGTATTGTATAGGTACATATTATATAATACGAATATAGTTGTGGGATATGTTTGAAATATGTATACTTTTTCAGCTACTGGCAAAAAAAATCTGTCTTGGGATAAAAATTGTTGAAACTCATCAACATCCACTACTGTATACATTTACATACCTAATTATATTTTTGAATTTTCCCGGTGCGTATTATAATATTTGATTAGCATAAATTATAGGTAACTTTTATGGCATTTCAGAATAACAACCTAGAGTTGTCGTACGTAGACTGTACTACTGTTGTAACTTGTAGGCAGTGTTGTAAAAAATACTTTTAAAAAGTATTTGAGTAATTACTCAAATACTTATAAAATAAAGTATTTAAAATACCACCCAAATACTATCTATTGTAAAGTATTTGAGTATTACTCAAATACTTTTTAGAAGTATTTGAAATAATTTTCAAATACAAAACAAAAAAATACGTACGTATACGACATACCTTACCTACCTAATGTTCGTATTATATTTCGCTATGATAATATACTATATTGGTAGGTAGTAGGTACCGAAACGTACCGTTCCAATCGTCGTCGAGTGTCGACGATAAACAGACGGTTTCTCAGAGTAACTAATATTAATTAGCTATTAATAGACGAAAACTAAAACCAATATAGAATTGTTCATAAATGATAAATATATATTATAATATTATTAAGACATTATTATTATTTGACAATGAATAAAAAGTTGAAGGAATAAAAAAAGTATTCAATAAAATAGTATTCAATAGGAAAAAAATGTATTTAAAATACCGTTCAAATACTTCAAAAATAAAAGTATTTGAATACTTTTACTCAAATACTTTTACTCAAATACTTTACAACACTGCTTGTAGGTAATATTTTAATAATATTATAGTTTTTGAAACGTTGAAACTCGAAATCGTTCGATTCATTGTGATGGTTTGAACTAAATATTTACATAAATCATGATTGAGTTATGAATTTTTCAAGCGTTTGAAATCCACGTGACGAATATTATTGTGCGAACATTTGCACGCCACGCTGCAAGTATCTACAACTATATTATTGTATACCTACCTATAATAATGTAAAACCGAACAAAATTGTTCCCGAAAGAGGTGAGGTTAGGTATATGCAAGATGTTTCACTGTGTTTTTTATCATACCTATAGGTATACTATAGCCTACTCACTATTCAAATACATATGGAAATTTAACATTAAATTTTTAAAATATGTGCACGCACAAAAAAAAATGTAATTAATTACAAACTTCTTGATTTTGGTTGAACTAAAAATTACGGATGGAAATAATTTATAACAGTAGTCTCTAAGTTTAATGCAGACAATTTTTTAGATTATATTTGCAATATATAATTAACTAGAAAACTGTTATAACAGCACGGCGAGACATTGTATTCAAGAATATCGGCCACAAGTTATAACTTATAATTGTATAAGGTCATGCACCCATCGCGCAAGTAGTACCTACTTGATAATATTATGGTTTATAGAATCAGTGGCGTACGCAGGGAGGTGTCAGGCAGATATGACACCCCCCTTACAAATAAGTATTTGTTCAAATTATGAAACGATGACTAAAAAAAAAAAAAACGAAACAAAACAATTAAATTGTCCTGATAAACCAATATCATTTATCATTATCAATCAGATATAAACTGATCGTCCCATGCGCATAAAATTCAAAACGACAAATATTGTCAGTTAAGACTGAATGGTTTAGCAGTTCTTAATATTCATCGAGAAATTGATGTTGAGGTCGAGGAAGTAATTAAAGTATTGGCAAAACAAAACCGTTGTACTGACTTTCTATATACATAGTACATACATAAAATATATGTATATTATATTATATATAAATGTTTAACATTATTTTATTTGTATTGACTATTTTATCATAACATAGTGGGAGAAGATTTTGTAGAGGGATGAGCAAAAAAAAAGGGTCAATTCATGCATAGAATTATGATTTATGACACCCCCCTTAAAGAAATCCTCCGTACTCCACTGTATAGAATTATAATATATTGTTGATAGACACGATAATAATGATATTGATAGACTTGAAAAAAAACATTTATGAACTTCGTAATAACTCTAAAAAAAAAACAGGTATCCGGGTATTAGTTAAGTCATCAGTAGGTAAGCATATAGTAACTATTAAAAACATTTATTTGAAATATCACCTTCTTGTTGTATTGAAGCGTGCAGAAAAAAATATCTGAACCTGTTACTTGACTGTAAATTAATGAAATTAAAATATAGAAAAACGCGTACTATTGACATTACGGTTTAGGACTCTTGTGCATTAAGTCCGGTGTTCTGCCGAGTGATTGGAAAATATCGCAAACTTCTTTAAATTAAGTCAAATGTCAGTATGCAAATTTAGATCTTCTCGTCGTTGCAATCGAATTGTGTGGACATTGCATTTTGGACATAGCTCAAACCTATCCTAGTCGAATGGTCCGTTATATTATTTTTCGTTCCGGTCGCAAGCAACTTGCACATTAAACACACTAGTCGTCACCTTCGGCACCAATCGGCGAACGCCGGTACGTTCAATCTCCCCCACCCCGTCACGCAACAGTGCAAAATTTTAGGAACAATAATAATAATAATAATAGTAATAATAATTACATCTCGGAAGTACCCTTAAAAGACGCGTCCAGCCGTCTCAACCGATTCTGTCGATCATTCGCCAACACGCAACTACTGTCCGTCTCCTACCGCGGCGCACTCGATAATATATTGTAATATATTGTATGATAATCACGAAAACTACAGTATCGCCATCATTTGTCTAATATCGTTACATTTTCTAGACCATATTAGAATATATGCACCTGTGTTTCGACGGTCGGCGCCATCAACTACGAAAGCATATATTAATATCACTGTACAATAATAATATATTAATTACGCCACCACAACAACCAACCGAAGAAGACAACGGTGTCAAACGAGCGGAAACGAAATCATAATAATAGTAAAATTAATATAATATTATACCTGGAGCAGGCCAGTCGATATCGTTGAAATGTTGGCCGCTACAAAAACGGTTGTCGCCTTCGCGTGCCTGGCGATGGCTAATTTCGGAATCCTCCAAGCAATGCCGGTAGCCGACGAACCAGCTGGTAAGTAAATACTAAAAAGACTAAAGAGTGATGTCAAATCCATTCGTCTAACCCTTAAATAAAGCTGCTCATCAAAATGTGCATCGCGTATCGGTTTATTTCTTATAAACAAATGTGATATTTGTATGAAATGCTCGTTATTACTAATTTATTGCTACTTTTAAATTTAAAGTTTAGGTGGTAACTTATTATTCGTACGTAGTTCGTATATATTCGTATATTGCGCTTATTTTTCCCATCAACTTGGCGGTTGTTCTCTCTTCGATTGATTTTTGATTTTTTAACGACTAATTACAATTAACGAATTTATATTCAAAATCCACAGAGTGGAATATTTTTTATGAAAACTTCTACTTCTTCAAACTTATTGAAGCGACTGCAGTTTAAGATTCTGAGAGGAGCTTATTGGATTTTACAATGATTTGTGTTTTTTTTTTTTATACATTTTGACCATCTGTATACACGAAAGGTAGAAGAAAAAGTGATTTGAATTTCCATTTGGTGGATGATTGACGATAGACAATTGAGTCTAGTTGGTACTTTTAAGAGGTGAAAATTAAAAATTACTTGTATTTTAAAAAGTTTTCGACCAAATTGATTTTGTATTTTTGGTTTTACTCAAAAACAATAAACGTAGATACTTAATATTTTCAATAAATGTTTATATTAGCATTTTCTGTACATTTTTAAATGTTCAAAATATACTAAAGCTTTTCGAACTACTTATAGACATATGACATTTTTGACTTTTTTTTCTATAAATATCTTTACATTTTTTTCACGTGGTCAAAAAATTTGTAAATTTAATACAAGGGATTTCATGAGTTCTTCATGTGCCAATTAAAAAACATCGTGAGCACTAAGTTTTGATAAATTTCTTACAAGAGTTTAAACTTAGAAATTTGACAAAATTCTTTAAAATCGCAAAATTTGGGAAAAATTGATATTTATTTTGTATTTAGAAACTCATAAAAATGGTTTATATACCTATTTTAAGATTTGAAAATTTAATAGCAGGTTCTTATTTAAATGTTCTTTCTATACATAAATGTTTTCGGACTCAAATTATGAAATTACTGATCTAAGTGAACGATTAGAATAAAATAATACTTTTCAAATAATGTGCATTCAAAGATATCTGTACAAAAAATACTTAATAGTCTCCACTACCACCTTTACAATAATGGAATTAGACTTTTGAATAAATCAATTTCACATTTTCCTATATTAACAACTAACAAGTGAAGACAACTATCCGGGGTAAATCGTTTTATACTGATTTTCTCTTTTATTTATGACGTACACGTGACATAAAAAACATCCATATTATAGTATAATAATACTTAAGTAATGGGAGTGCGATAAGACCACTGAAGTACACAATACTATTATTATGATATTATTATCTTCTACTATAACGTAACTATAGGTACCTATTAATGAAAAAAAATATCTAGGGTTTAGTAATTTCTTGTTCGTATCGATATCATCCAGTGCCGTTCAGTTGCTTGTAATTTTATAAGTGAATAAGTTCTTGTGTGATTTAAAACAGTAAAAACATAATATTATTATCTATATGTGTACTACTGAGTGTATCGAAGTATATTAATAATATACGTTTACAATTGTTGTTGATTTTCACAGTTAAGAATGAACGTTTTCTCTCGTGAAAAAATACGTAATATTAAATTTACTATGACCTATTAATTGTGATAAGTGAAAAAATTACCGTTATATATATACCAAATGTATTCAACATTTCATTTTTGAAAATTAAACTTCTTCAGAGAATCAGAGCTCAAAGATGATACTATTCGGGGTGATCCATTTAATGCGAGACCTTCATTATTTCTTTTACATAATTTTAAGTTGGTACAAAACAAACTGTTTGTAAGCCAATTATAGTTTTTATTATTTTTTTAATCTTTAATGACAACGTGCATTTTTAATTCCTTATTCCAAAGCTGAATACTTTTTGTAGTACCTATACTTATTGGTACGTATATATAAAAATCAAATTTTGGAGTCATGATTAGTTAATGATTTATAATTTTTTAAAGTTGGATAGGCGTAGTAGTGAACGTTTTGTGGAGTACATCTGTACCACTCGACTTCGCGTATCTAAACTTTAATATTAATTATAAATAAAGTACTAGAACAAATATTATGCTTTGGAATAAGAAATAAAATAAATGTTGTCATTAAAAATAAAGAAAGTGTAACGATAAATTTTTTTTCTAGTTCTTGTTTAATGATTAAAATTATGGATAAAAATATTTGTAATAATGCGAATAATTTTCGTATGATGAGTATCTTACGTTAAATGGATCAAATGGTAGCCAATAAAACAATTATAAAAGCACTAGGCATGATATAGTAGGCAACAGTTGTACTGTATTTATCGTAATATTAGTTAATAATTCAAGTATTCAAATATAAGTCTTTTCTACCCAAACTAATAATTAATGATTTAAAAAATACATTACCTAATTTATTTTTCCTGGAATACACTTAAATACCAGCCCTAAATGTATAATAAAGTAATAATAGTTATTATGTTATATAACAGTGTGGTATCTAATTGAGATCATTGTTTTCTTGAGCTGCTTCATAACAATTATAATTTATTACATAACATTCGAAACAACAATAACAACAGGTATAACTTATTATTCAGTTTCTATTATACCTATTATACTAATGTAAAATATTTATTATTAATATTGACTATTTCTATGTTGCTCGCTATGGTAAAAAAATACGAGAAAAACCTAAGTGAAAAAAACGTCTGAAACCATTCGTCGCTATACTGTGGGCCCCGTTGACTCGAGTTAGTACTCAGTACGCGCAGTCCATCGGGAATTTTCCGATTTTCCGATTTCCCAATCTGTCCCTGCCAGAGTTGTATAAAGGTGGGATCAGAGCCCGAACGAATGCAAGCGAATGCTACCGGACGAATTCGAATGCATATCGAACGCTTCGATCGCCTTTGGAGCGAAACGTTTCCGAACGCATTCGACTTGACCGTTTACACCGGTTCGTTCGACAGTATTCACTTGCTTTCGTTCGTGTTCGGACTCTAACCTAACCCAGCTTTACTAGAGGATGGTACCTTTGGGTACTGCTGCCATTGTTTTACAGTTTATACCAAACAATCCTTACATTATAATATTAGATGTAAGTAGACAGGTGGTAGTGTATGCAGTATGCACTGCAATAGAATACTATAACCTTTTCTTTGATAAGGCGCGCGTGTCGAAAGTCTTCGGTTATTTCATACCCACCCTATATATTTTCACCTATTCGTTTATCGGTTCCATTTTAAATTTTTTTTGGCAATGCTATAAACAAAATCGAACCTATAACATTATGGACCATGATATATTATACCTAACCGGACGAATTCGAACGCTTTGATCGCCTTTGGAACGAAACGCTTCCGAACGCATTCGACTTGACCGGTCGAACCGGTTCGTTTGACAGTATTCACTTGCTTTCGTTCGTGTTCGGACTCTAACCTAATCCAGCTTTTTACTAGAGGATGGTACCTATGGGTACTGCTGCCATTGTTTTATAGTTTATACCAAACAATCCTTATATTATATTATAAATTATAATAAAAGAGATATATGTATAGTGTATGTAATGCAATAAATACTATAACCAGTATAACCTTTTCTTCGATAAGGCTGGCGTGTCGAAAGTCGTCGGTTATTTCATACCTACCCTATATTTTAACCTATATTCGTTTATCCGAATCGTTTGTGGCAATGTGATAAGCAAAATCGAACCTATAACATTATATGGACTATGATATATTATACCTATACAATTATATGACTTATATATACCGTGTGCTCGTGTTGTTGCGGTAGTCACTTAAAATATCGTAACTTTAAACGGATATAATAAATAATACAAATAACACAAACGTTCGGGAAAAAAGGATTTTTCTTCGAAATAGGAATTAAAATAATCAAAACTCATATTATTTATGCAATAAAATATATTATTTTGATACATTTTTATTTGATTTCGGTTAAACAGAATTCGCTATAATGACAAAGCGGTCGGGTTGTATAATTGATGTGTTTTTAATATATTGTAAGCGTGAGCACTATCAATAAACGAAAATATTAATCATCCGGTAAAATTATACCTATTTTTCTTCGTACTTTTTAATAATTTAAATGACTTATATATATATATATAACTATACTAAACTATATATCTGATCGTTAAAAATGATAAGATTCTTTCTTTATATTATAATATATACTATTGATTTTGTAACACACACTCTTACCTGCATAATAATATTATATAGGCATAAGCACATACTCTTACATTATCAATTATTGTTTTCGTATAGTTTTTTATCGAGTTAATGTTAATCCGATGAAACCTTATATTATTTTAATACCGCGTTTCGACCGAGTGACGTCTCGATTATTATCGGTCATAATATGACACCGGACTACACACACACACACACAAACACGCACTCACAAACACACTAGCGGTGAGCTCGTATAGTACATCATAAAATAAAATGTATAAATGAACGCGGCAGCTAATATTATATTATATTATTATTGTGTGTAAGAATTCGTGACTATACAGGAAAAGATTTTGGAGGGAAAAAATTCAAGCATAAAAACCGACATCGACGCGGTGCATCGCACACTGCTAAACGCGTCGGGCTCGGTCTAAAGTAACAGCATTTAGTATATACCAATATATATATTATTATATGCGCATATATTTAAAATAATAAATCCGCATAATTGGCTTTGCGATTCGTACGGTTTCGGCCCTGTCGCGCACACGCGTAATTTATTCTCGTCGACGGTCTCCAGGTCGCCTGACCGAAATAATATAATATAATATTTTTGTACCGCCGCCGTCTAGCGGAATAGGCTTTTTTCGTCCGGTCTAAGATTTAAGTCGTATATTATTACCACATTAAAACCAATACTCGACAATGTCCGTTCTAGGATCATGCTGTCCGCCGGTGTCGCGAAGGCAAAACTCCATACCAGTGCACTACGTGACGGGCACACACTACGAAGTCGGATACAGCGTCGTAAGTATAACAAACTTATCCATATATATATATAATATAATATAGTAGGTATATACATTCGTTGTGATGTTGTACGCGTTTTGTATTTCCCAACGGTTTTTGCGCGGCAAAGTGTAATAGATGACTTTGACGCAATAAATATCGGAAGATTTGATATAATGGGTGTGATTTTGTGTGTTTATAGCCTATACATTAAGTAGGTACATAATATTTATGAAGTTCTCGCGTATATTAGAGCATGGGAAGAAAACGGAATACACAATTCGCTTAGTACAGTTAAAAATCAGATGGCTTATTCTTCCGTTACAAAAGTTACACTACAACTACAGCAGTGACCAATAATTGTGTTTTGTACCAATATTAGTTTTAGTATACATTTTCAGTGTGCTCATAGGTACCATAGTTATCTAAGAAGTATTTTTTTTATATGTTTACGGTACGTGAGTAACGATAAGGAAAAAAAAAATACTTAAACACACTTAATAATATAGGTAAAAATATATTTAGTTATACACTTATAATTATACTCATCATACACAAGCAAATAATTATAAAACATTTCCTATATTATATAATAGTATATTAAACGCAATGCGTGAGTATGGAATTTTCAGGAACTTGATTCAACATACCTAGTTTATTAATTACTCGGTGACAATTAATTATAGAAATATACTATCGTCGACTGCTGTATATTAGAATTTTTTTTATATATATTATATACATTAGGCATATTATATATCAATAATTCAATATTTTTCAACATTTTATAATTTTTTTTTTTATTTGTGAAGGTCAGTACCGAGGTGATGTTAGATTAGATAAGGTGGACCTAAGTTCATGTTATTACTTATGTGTTTTGTTGTTAGCGCGTGGCTTTCATTTTTTAAGATCGTATTTGGTCGTTTTTGTTAATTTAATTTTATGTAACATTGTAATCACTAAGTAGGTACTCTCTTGTATTATGCTTTGTACTGTATTCGTTTATCGACTGTTGGCGTCTAACTGTCGGCCGCAATTCTTGTAATCATTGTTCGCCGAACTGTCGATTTAAAAAAAAACCATCTTCTTTTGATAATATATTTTCAGCATGGACCCCTCCTCGTTATTCCTAGGTATAGGAAAGTGTCGTATGCTTATCTCTGTTTTATTGACATCAATCGGATTTGAATCTTCTATTCGAATTTTGTATATAATATCTTATAAAAGTCACAATAATTATAGAATTACAATTTAAGTATTACAATAATTTTTGTTGAGATGCGTCAGTTTGAACACGATAAATAATGAACCGCATTGGTACGGATTTGTCAACAAAATATAAAGATATATAATGCAAGTATTAATTAGGTAATAAATAATTGGCTATGGTAATTTTTTTTAAATTTTAGACTCGTATATTATATTATTATATTGGTACTGTATAGGAGTTGGCATGCTCGAAGAAACGAGTGTTTTTCTTGGCCAGTTGTCTCTATAAAACTGCATAATATTATATGATTTATGTCATATGTGACATCTTTATTACACACAGATACACCCGGTGTACGGATGAGCCATGCCTTATATGCCAAACATGACATAGGTATCTTACAAACCGTTAACGTTCGATATCTTAATGATGATAATTTATGCATGGGTTTTATATTGTTTGGCTGAAACTGAAATTGCAATTGCAATAATTTTAACTGCAACTACAACTGCACAAAAATGATGGACCCGTTTCGCGGTGTTTCTATTACAAGCGATTGCGTATTAAACGTGTCATTTTATCAAGATTATATATTTTATAATTTATTAACCATCTGCAATAATTGTTCTTGAGTACCTATTTTTTGTTATAATACCTATAGGTAATATTATAATATTAACTATACGTATTTCATAATATCACTAAATTCACTGGTGTCTTCCTTCTTTTATAGCAACGTACATTTGCAGAATGTGATGACGAATCCGTCTGAGTTATAAAATGTAATTTTTGTCCGTCAGATTGCATTTTTAAAATATAAAATAGGTATATACAAGTAATTTTAAAATATTAATTATTACTCATTCTCAATAATATTCAGAAGTCTGGAGGTTCGATCATGACTTATAATAAATACTATAATATATAGTGTGCTTGTCTGCGTATACACACTTAGGTTTTATATGCTTCTATCTCCTCGACCTTTTACATTAGATAATATTCGTTGAAATTTGGCCATCAAGAATTAGCGTCTGACGATGATTAGGGTAATAACATTAATGATAATAATTACACTTAATTAAAAAAAAAAAAAAAAAAAATGAAAACCGTTATTATTCTCAACATAATGTTCTAAGTCGTCATCGTAATATTACGTGCATAGGTTTAGGAGTAGGGTTTATATTATTACAATAAATCTACTAAATTTTAATTTATTATTTTGTCAGTATTGTTATAACGACGATTAAGAATTAAGATACAACAAACCAAAATAACTGTCGGAAATAATATTATCGCATAATGGGAATTTGTAGTTATTTAGTTTCTTTTTAACGTGGCTCATATTATGAGGAACTTAGAATACTCAAATTTTAATGAATTTTGAATACAATACATTTTAGTTAGTAAAATAAAACACACGAATAATTTATTGTGTTAATCAAACGTAATAAGTGTACAATACTTTACTCATCGATGATACCTAAATCAATTCGTTAATGATTTGTTTTGATACACCTAATCAAGAAATGTTTGAGCTTATGTTTAAGCTTAATGTAATTATTATGTAAATTCAAAATTATTTAAGATGTTTACTTAAACATTTTGCTATTAAAACTTCATTAATAATTTAAAAACGATATATTTGACAGTAATTATTAGCGTAGGTAATTATACTTCAGATATTTTTACGATGTACTTATAATATATTATTATTTAAAATCAATTATCTAGATATACATTATTCATTGAAAAGTATCTACCTATATTAATTAATAATTATACATTAATTATTTAATTCATTTATAAAAGCATTATAAAATAATACAATGTACCTTATACCTACAACCTACCTAATCATGCTATTGTTTAAAAATTAGTTTTTATCAACGTTTATAAATAGTTCGTAATGTACGATTATAATTTGAAGAAATAGGTAGATAATATAATTAATTTGATATTTTTTAATTTCCTAATCCTAATCGAGAAAGACAATTGAATTAAGGCTTAAGGGTCATGATAGATCAAATTAAATTTAAACGTACGATGTTTAGATCAATTAATATTAATAAATTGAATATAATATTAAACATATACAATTATTATGTTACATTAATGCAGCCAGTACAGTAGTACCTATCTTAAAACAACGAAAAAAAAAATATAACAATATCCTCATAATAATTGAGTAGTAATTTATGCTATTAATTATTATCTACACTTATTACTGCGTACAGACGATACAGTAGATAATTATAATTTACAACCTTACAATTTTTGAAATAATTAATTATTGTAGGTATACTAATTAATAACCCTATATAAGTGATATAAGTACAACCTACATCCTACTCGTTATCGATAGATATTTACATTTAAAATTACTTTTATTGTTATATAAAAATAAAAACTTAAGCAAGTGTTATTGCTTATTTACGATTGTGGTATCGTAAACAAACATGCTGTTCATTAAGCGCTAGGTACTTAATTTACTAATCGGGTTGAAACGGTGAAGGTACCTATATAATATACTCCTTTACTAACCATTGTAAATATCGTAATTATTTTATATATTAGGTTCATTGTATTACAATCTTGACTTGTCAAATTCTCTTACATAATTTACATAAATAGGAACATATTTTTTTTATTAAAAGAATACGTCAATAACGTTATAAAACTACACACAGATAATATTATAAAAACCGACAAATTCGAGTAATTTGATACAGAATCTATAAGATTTAACCATGAACTTGTTCACAGGCTGGTTTCTGGTATCTTAACCGGGCTCAATAATATTATTGTATAATAATACGTGTAAACGTTAACGTAACTTATATAATATGACATATAAAAATAATATAGGTATATAATGTTGCATGATGTGTATATAAAATAGTTATTTCAATAAACGAACACGGCTTATAGGGATTTTAAAGATATTACTCTCACGGTCAATATTTTATTAAAATATGTTGTCCAATATGGCATTATCATATAATGTTATACTATGCTTTTATTTAATCACGTTTAGAGTCGTTAGGACTTTTGTGATTTCCGGACAAGAATGATTATCAGTAATAATAATGTAATGTGTGGTGTTCCTACTATATACTTATTATAATCGGGAATCTCGAGTAACAGATAATGGTTGTCAAACAATAATTATACGAATATTATTATAGTATTATGTTCTGGAAACGATGATTTTTTTTTATTTAATTTCGTCATCATGCGACACAGCTGTTTTGCATAAGTCACGCGCGAACAGTAGTTTTGTTTGTAGTGATAAAAAAAATGTTTATCCGAAGCTCGACACATTTTTATTGTGATTCCGGATTATGCACGACGAACGGCATCGAATAAATTTTACAGCATATAGAACGAGCAAGTTGATTATATAATAAATACTATATATATATACCTACTATTATATTAATTTATAATCAATGGTCGTTCGTTTTATATAATAATAATATTAAATAGGTATACCTATATTTTATAATTTTAAACGGTCGCATGAGTATATGAACACAACTAGGTACTACTTATCACCTCGATAATTTATCAATATCGGTTGGTAAACGCGATTCCGTCGAATAATTATTATAAAAAACGTTATGTGGCGAGTGCATTGCAGCAGTGGCGAATAATAATAATTCTCCTTCGACGTAACTGGACGACACTGAGTACAGTAGTCGGGTCAGCCCACCGGGAGTGCACAACAAGTGGTGTCTCGTAGGATTTACTTTTTTTTTTCGAAGGTGCTCAGGAAGTGTTCCGGCAAATTTACAATACCGAAGTACATTAAATATGTTAATCGCTCTTTATTATAATCGCCTTCCGTTTTACTACCGACTCTACACTGCTGCAGCGGGTTATAGTATAATAATTATACGGTAGGTGGGTAATTACTGAACTATAGGTACGACGTTGCACAATATTACGTCGATTAATCAACACATTATGCTATTTTTAATCATCGCGTTTTTCAACCGAGTATTTCACGAGGCTGCGAATTGCAATACCATAATAATATATACCTACATTTGTGACCAGACTTCCGTCTGGTATAATTGCCATGTAATATTTTTAACTGTATGCAAATGTAAAAAGAGTAGCTATAATGTTACCTAGACAGTAGACAGTATAAAAGAATTATGTCGAATTCAGGTAGGTTGTGAACACGAGGGACGTTTCACCGACAATTTTCATTATTGGCATTAACACGTTGGCGCACTGACGCAGATCAACTATAGCTGCTTTCAGAGTGATTAGACAAACCCCGCCTATTATGAAAATGAAAGACAACATCATTTTGGAAAATACCAGTTGATGTGTTTTTTTTAAAATTGCATTTCAACAAAAAGTTACTATCGTTTAACAAAAGAAAATTTACGAATTTAGAAAATAAATATTATCTCAGAATACTTACCGAAAAATCAAAAATTATGATAACTTATATTTATAGATTAAAAAGCTCTAAAATGGCTCTAAAATATATACATTTAGAAGCAGTAAAAGCCGATCTGCGTTAAAAAGATTTAATTAATTATCTATATAATTTTGTATCTACACAAGAATCAAAAACGGGCACGGGACCATCAGTAAGTTGCACAAAGTTGGTAGGTATTTTAAATATTATAATTTATTTTTCTTAAAATGCCGTTAAAGTTGCTTACACAAACCCCTTACAAATATCTTTGGATATATATCATCGATTACATTTGCGTAGTTAATAAAACACAAAAGTATTTCCGTAAGTTAAGCTAACTGAGAGATTTTCAATATAACTATTTACTTAAATAAGTGAAGCTAAAAATATCTGTCGTTATACGCAGAGACAGTTAAAATATCAGTCCAGGCTAATGTTTTCCAATCGATAGATATAACCTTTTGAAACATTCATTCTGCCCTCAAATATTATATCAAAGGATGAAAAAAAAAAATTATACGACAATATGACGTACAATAATTTTATGAGTAAAAAAATCGTTATCAATTAATACAGTTCAGATAAAACAGTTTACTAATTCCATATGTATTTTTTTTATCATTTTATAGGGACGGACTTTTGGATCAATGATTAAAGAATATATCCGCTTGTATGAGCCACTTCAGAGTGAGTTCCTACCAATGTACGCCCAACCGGAAGGGCGGCAGATTTATGAAGAAAGTTTGAAGTCTACACAAAAATTCTTCCCTCAGTATGTGATCGAGCTACAAGGAGTGGCCGATGGAGCAGGAGTTCCATTTCACGAGGTACCAAAGTGTTTTGTTATTATATATATAATAATAATACAATATTATGTATGATACCTATATAAAGAAAATTAAAATATATTTCAGTTGTTCCTAATGGCCTTAGACGATACACTACCAAAGAATTTAAACGCCTCGAGTATAGATAAAGGGCCTGTAGGATGTACTTCACTCATAATTAATCAGAAAAATGCACAGGTAAAATATAATGTGTATGTATTTATAGTGCTTAGCCCCCTGTTATAGGGTTATATCGGTAACTGTAATTCAAAAATAAATTATTGCAATAATAATATATAGTACTTAAATATTTTATAAGTGCACAAATTGTTTCTACAAAAGTACAAAATTTAATACAATGCGTAACTTTTTCACTGAAATAATATTTTATAATATATTTTGCTGTGAGAATCCTTTGCATGTGTCAAAGTAGTTAAAAATTAATTTGAATAGTGAAAATAAGGAAAGAAATATTCAGTCTATATAATTTATGAAAAGTTTAAGTACATATACTTACATATAGTTAGATAATATGTTACTTCTGTAACATATTGTTTCACTAACTAAAAATATAATATATTATATTATGCAAGTACTTACCATCTTTCATTTTCATTTATATATTCAGTATGATTTTATTTCATAATACTGGAAATGTAGTAATTTTAGTTTTATGAATGGGAATAAGACATGTGTAAAATTGGCACGAAATATTGTTAATTACAATTCAGTTTGTGACACAGGAGTGATATATAAATAATCTATTAGAGACTCATAAGCAATAAATAACTAGTTAGGTTCTTGGTTACTTTGATTATTGTAAAATCAAGAAAAATATATCAAAACACGGGTAGAAAGTCGAGTGGTAAGTTAAAAAATACTAAAAAAGGGCGTTTTTAATAATAATAAAAAAAAATCCTTATGTATTATTAACGCGAACATACTATTGTTGTACAGTTGTTAGGGCATACAGAAGACGCGATGTCCGAGACGGTAAACAACTATTATATAGTGGCTGCCCATGTGGTGCCCGACGAATCCGAGCTGGGTGGCGTGTTTCCGGCTAGAGAAGAGAAGTTCGAGGCACTGGCGTACGCCGGACACTTACCGGGTTACGCCAGTGGTCACAACCACTACGGACTGGTGTTCTCGATCAACACGATATTCGTCAGCAAACCGTTGAGGGGCAAAATCCGTTAGTATTAAACTAATATAAGTATGTAGATAGATCTCACAAACAAGCGCGAAGATGTACATCTGTGAGTAGTACAAAGGGTGGACTGTATAGACATCAGATGACGATTGTGACAGTAGGTACAGTCGTCAGTTGTACGGTATTGTACCTACTCTGTTGCTCATTGGTGGTCAGTGGCGGCGTGATAGGGTGTTTCATGAGGCAATTGCCTCACGACCAATTAGGTGGTGGTACCCCCCGGGTACGGATATTAAAAACCACATATGAAATATGGTCAAGGGGACGGAGTGGCCGAGTGGTCTAAGACGTCGGTCGCGACGCAGCCGGTGCCAGCTCGATTCCTTGGTCGCGGGCGGCAATTTTCTTTGGGCAAGTCACGGAGAATAAGTGCCGCCATCTCACACCCGGGCATGACAAATACCTACGGGTACCCCAAATAAAAAATTCTGCCAAAACAAACAGACACGTGTAACAAATCTACAGTACCCTCCCCTACAGTACCACAGGCTAATGACCTAAGTTGTCGGAGCCTTAACCCTAATAAAAAAAAAAATAAATAAATAAATATGGTCAACTAATGTCTAATACTATTAATTATACTAATTTTATAATAATTTTATTATATTTCTGATATTAACACAACAAAGTATATTATCGTTGTAGAATAAAATTGTGAATTGGGGGTGTGGGGGCAAAGCCCCTACCGGGTCTGTGTGATAAAATTTAGGTGGTGGTGGTCCAGCATTTATACTTGCCTCATAAAATAAAATAGTTCACGCCGCCACTGTGGTAGGTACATTTGACACGATTCCGCGGTTGAATTAATTTTATTCGATTGCAACTACGATACATACCAAATTTTACTAGTTTTACAATTGTATATAATAACAAAATAAAATACATCTGTAGAACAACAAATTATCCACATAATTAACAACAGCTAACAACCAATTGCATATAGTTGTTTTATCAACTATTATTATTATTTATTAAACTGAAAAGTAAGAACATTATAATGGGTATTTTAGGATATTTTAATTTTCAAGCAAGTTATGAGTATGTAATTGCATATAATTGTAACCTTATCATTCTCGGATCACGACTTGCTCTTTTCGGTTCGGTTCAGTTCCGTTCCGATGTACGTAACATTGTTAAACTGCATATTAACACACGCCCGTTATGTGTTTAATAGCCCGAGAGTTCATCACGAGAGCGGTGCTGGCCACACGAGCTGACCTGGGCGATATCTTGGACGTGTTGACCAACGAAGGCGTAGGCACGGCCGATGGATTCAACATGAACTTTGCTTTCCTGCACGTACCCACAGAATCGCGTGTTTTTCACACGGTCGAAGTCACCCCGAAAGTCGACTCTGACAGGTCGGAAGTGTACCTCGCAGACTTCGGTATGGGAAGCAACTCGATACATACGAACAAGTGTGTGCACGGCGCCCTTCACCGCCATAGTTTATTACGAAATATAGTAAATAATAATTATAGAGGGGAAACTTACACTTCAGTAGTTTTGCGTGGTAGTGATGACGTGATTCACTCGATGCAAAAATATTCACCAGTCACGGTTAAATCTGAATCTTAGTAAAGTCGACGACCTGCATTTATGTAAACTTTTCAGAAAATGTTGATAAGTCATAATATACCTATTGCGTTTTTAGATTTCCGACGTCGTTGTTAGGCTTAACGGGACACGATCTTGTAGGTCCATCGAAAATAGTCGTATATGATATAACTACTATATATTATTATGAAATATGTTTAATTTATAATTTCGGTCTTAAATATTCAGATTACTCCATCTGAAGTACCCGGAACTGAACGAAGCCGCTTACGGGAGCAGCGTGTCCAGGGAGAGCCGGTACAAGCAGATGACGGCCAACAAGACCGCTGTGAACCTCCAGGACATGTTGGAAGTACTCGGCAACAGGGACGACGATCCGTGGCCGATCTTTAGTGACAAGGCCGAAGCCAGAGTCAGCACGATAAATTTGGGTAAGCGCGGCGCTTCATATAAGTATAATATAATATATTTATAATATATGTATAGCCAACTTGACATGATAGCCGGACTCGAGTATTATACGGACCTATTTTTATACCTCGGTACAGTTACCGCTTGTCCACGAAAACTTGGTGGGTACACTCTATAACCCAGTTACTATCAGTGTCCTATATATTATGTATATATTTTAGAATTCTGTCTGCGGGAAATTTATGATCCTGCAATAGTCTAATAGGTTCATGTCCCGCCAACAGAGTTAAAAAATATGTAAAGGGTATTGAGTAAAATGGGTTACCACGGTTTTGCACAAGCACCAAACTTGAATAAACGGTGACTTGTGATTTAGTTTTGTGTGAGACAGATAAAAAGTACTATGTGTACCTACATCATACGCGTTGAGAGAACAAAATTTGTTATATTTCCGCACTGTATATGTGAAACATCTCTACAACGCGTGGCGATGCGTCATAAACTATAATATAAAATTTGTTTCACACTAAGTACCTGATATTACGAAAAACGATGAGAAACAAATTATGCTTACGGGGTTACGGATTTGTGTAATATTTTATAATAGTTGTGACAAAATTAATATCAATTATTCAAAGCTTTTGACAAAATAATATTACCTATCGTCTCTGAAAACAATTTTTACCACGCGATACATAATATGCTTAGGCATTAAAATTCTTTGTTTTGTTGAAACGTCAACATAAAAAATTATACCTCTACGAAATATTTTTTAGCAATGAAAAAAAATTACGAAACGTATTATAAAATATTGCTTTCTTTGATTTTTACGACAGGTGTTTTTAGTTTTAACATAATTTTTCATTTGTTATAACTTATAAGTTCTGACGTTAATAAATTAAATTAAATTAAAATTAATATATTATATGAAATTCAATTTTTTTCGTATCCACAAGACATGAGAGGTGGAGGTGATGTTTCATGCAACTCGTACAGGTCTTCATAAATGACATTTGGAATATATTTTTTTGTGATTTACGATAATTATGAATTTCTAATGAAAAGCGTAACAGTTTTGACCTAGCTTTATCGGGATCAATTCGTTTTTCTATCGATCTTAAGTAATAAATTCTTTTAAAGATGCTAGATAAGTGTTATGATTAATGTTTACGCTTTGAACCTACCTATATCTAATAAAAATAATTATTTATCGCTCTAATTTTTCACAATATTTTTATAAACTAAGCTCAATATTAAATATTTATATTACCTTTATGGCTTTATTTACAAGTTAATAATAATTATAATTTTCGTATTTGATTTTTAAATGTGCAAAATGAGCATAATTACTATAAGTTTTAGTCATAATTTTGTTAACAACCATTGGAAAGTATTTTTTGGAATGCTCACATTGCTATAATATTTATGGGTTTGATTTATGTAGGCGTTTTCGATTTCAACAAGAAAACTTGGACCTTGTGGACTAATGATCCAATCGACAACCCACCTGTGTTGCAATTGCCACTAACATTCACGGACTTGATTGGCCCAACAAGAAGCGATATAGGCATCAACAGGATCGAAGTCATCGAAACGATTTATCCTGATAAATAATTAGATATTAAATTTATCACTAATAGTCATATTACCATTATATAGTATCCCTATATCTACATTATATATTTTGGTCGTTAATATTCATAATTATATTACATAATGTCATCGAATATCTGTACCAAAAATAGTACGACATTATATCCTATGCTGAGTTAATATATATATATATATATTAATTATTGTTAAATTATTACCTATTATATTATATTATTTATATAGATTATTTATAAAATTAAAATAACACTATAATAAATTGTTTTTAATGTGTATACTTCAACCATGTCTACTTATAAAAATGATTGCTTTACTAGATTAGTGTGGTCAGTGCAATTTGAACACACTGCAGTAGTCTGTAAAGTAAAACACACATGCAGTTGTTTTTATCAGTGCCTAAATAATTGATTTACGTTAAGCCAGGATGCAAACAAATCTAAAAAATAGAAATATAATGCAGTGCATAAAATATGTACTGTAGACTACATATTTTTAAATTACGATTGATTTCGGTAATAGTCGATGCATTATGTCGAACGGTTAAACACAATATTATAGTACTCAAATGGAAATCTATAATACTGTTTTATGCGGACTGCCAGAGATCCAGATGTCGGTGGTTGCTGTAATAAATAGTTGAAGACAATTTCCACAGTTAATATAATTATAGTTTATTTCTATTTAATTTAAGAAAAAATTACACAAGGATATACAAGTCGTGTCGAGTGTTGTCAGGTCTCTACAGCTATGGTACATCTGAATATGCTCTACTACGGAGTACGGACTAACTTATAAAATATGATGCCAGCTCCTTTGACCGGAACGAGCCACGTGTTTTTCAGGTGTCTTAGGGTGCGGTGTGGAAAGTTGTTGTTTTCGTAAAAGATGGGAAAGACAGCTTCATGGCTATGAATATCGATTAATGATCCATGTTTAGGCGAAACCTAAATAATTTAATTCATTTCTAAATACTCCTATTTTATTGCAATAATATATACTGGTGTGTCTTGTAAGTAGCGCGATTCTAGTGGCCGGCCACTAGGTATTGCCCGATTATACGCCGGTCGGGAAAAAATAAACAATTTTAGAATAAGGCACTTATTTATTGTTATTATTGTTTGTACCAATAGTAATTTACATTATATGACATGTACTCGACAAAAATATAAAACAAAGTTTGTTCAGCCCTACATATCATTGAAAATGGTTCAAACTATACTCCCTAAACGTTTCTGGTATCTCCACTAAAATCGATCTCCGAAATTTTCTTCAAAATCGGTAGTGTAGTTTCTGAATCTATAAACCAAAACTATACACAGTACACACTTTTATATGTATGCATAGATTTTATACAGTTCAGTTCGTTGAATATTAATAGTCATCAACCAAATAGTGCCAAGTAAGGGGCAAATTTTTTTTCTACTGTCCCAACATGTTGCTCCACATTTTTACCTTGTTAATTTACTTTTGTTGAACTTTTTTGTTGTTGGTCCATTCATGTCATCCGTAAAAATTTTTTTTGGAGTAGGAGGATCAAACATTTTTTATACTTACATACTTTATACAGTTTAGTGAGTTTTTAAATATTAAGATATTTTTAGATAAATGTAAGGATAATATTAACAAACTAATATAATAGAAAATACAATTATAGTTTGAAATTCTCTTAACTCGTTTAATATTTAACTAAAGTAGGTATACCTTATTAGAGTAATTTAAGACCGTACTCGGCGTTGACCATAGTTTTCGTTTGGTGGTAGTCAGGTAAAATCCTTCTGTGAACATTTAGTGTAGTGATGCTATCCCCGAGGCGCACAAATTAGCCACACAGTACAGTTCTGGACACGCTGCCCAAGAAACACTATCAGATTTCACCGTTTGTGTAAATATGTCTAATTTTAATAATTACATAGATAACATAGACCCAAATATAGATATTTGAACAAGGGGGTGCTTAGTTCTAGGTTTTTTTGGGATCAATAGGACCTAACACCATTATTTGCCTATATGTAAACAAGAAGTAAATACAACCACTAAAACAAAACAAAAACCATACTTGGTGTGATACAATGTTATATTATAAACAATGTTATAGTGTTATAATTGTAATTCGATAAATAATCAACTTTTCATTTCAATTTTTTAAATGATTTGTTAGGGGGTGCTCAACACCTAAAGCACCCCCCCCCCAAGTTATGCCAATGATAGGTAGGTACATTTTTATAATACCATTTGGAATACCTATTGATTAGGATACTATTTATGTCGTATCGTATTATTATGGCTGTTAACTTGATAAAAATACTGACAATACTGTATAGAAGACAGAAATCGTGACGAGGGCCGCCCCTACTATAATTGCTCCTCTATGGTTCAATAATATTTAGCCTTACGCTAATACAGTAAAACCGTGGGATCCAATGCATTTAGTCAATACTCTGTCCAGGGAGAGAACACTCCGTGTACAGATGAAAATCTGTTCTTCTGAGCATCTCCTTGCCATAGTAGAATTGGTTAAGGGTGAAGCGAGAGGGATGCGCCGAAATGGCGCGTTTTCTTGACAGATTATTGACGTTAACCATTACTATATTCTCTTGAAGAGCTCGAACCTATTCGAGTGTAATATGCATTTATGCTATATTATGGTATACAAGTGATGATTTCGAATAAAATGATATTTTTATAGAATTCGGTTGTATATTATTTCAGACGCAAATTTTATGTCGAAATCAATCGCACTGTGCAGTAGGTACATATATATTTCCATGGTATATTCCATAGTATAGGTGCGGGAACGGCCGACGGGTTTAGCGTCAACATAGGTTTCCTGAACGAGCAGAAACAGTCCAGGTTAGTGTTTTACACGGTCGAAGTCACCCCGAAAATGGATAGCCCCAGATGTACGTGTCAAACTTCAGCGTGGGAACCAATTCCCAACAGGTATGTTTGTATATTATAATATTATTATTTGTGCACAGTTGTGTAATGTCTCATAGTGTGTGACATGTATGATGCATGGGTGTGTGTGGGTGTGGAAAGACGATCGTCCAAGATGCAGAGGTTAAGAAGCGGTATGAGAATCAGAGGTTCTTTTGAAAAAATATTAAATCTGGAACATCTTAAAAATCCTTATTTAATATTGTAACAACTTAAACCTTATTAAGGAACTGATATTTTAAGGTATCTAAATGTTTTTTCAGTTCTTGCGGGTACTTAAAGATTTGAAAAATTTTACGTTTGAAAATAAAAATTTACCTCCGTTGGTTTTTGTTATGAAATTCATTAACATGAAATATTAATGTTAATCATAATTTTAAATTACGATTTAAACAGTTTCAATCTAAATTATTGCTTATAAAATCCAACGACCCGGCAGGGTCGTGCTAAGCATAAAAATAAATGAGCGCCTTAAAATGCACACATTTACAATACATTATACAACACGCGAAAACTAGTCAGGTAATTACAAGAAGCAAAACATTCACGAAAAAAATCCTTGAGAAAGTATTTCAAATTTGTAGTTAAATAATGAAGTTGAAAATACAATCATCTAATTGGAAATTTTACGTATAAGTGCATGCTATACCTATTTTTCAAAAACAATATCAACAGAGTTATAGCCAATTTAACTAGAAATTATCGTAACGTATTTTCAAACTTTTTATTAGATAATATTCCCCGCGGCCCATATTACAATACACTATCGCCTATCGGCCACCAATGACAACCAATATATAAAAAAAAAACCAATACTAATTTCCACTATAAATATTATAATCTGCAAGACTGCAACCAATGCAACCATTTATAAACATATAAACTTATTTTATAAAATAATTTTTTGAAAAAAAACATCATTGTAAAACCAATATTTTGTTTCCAGAGTAATAATGTATCAACAAAACTGAGTGATATCCCTTGTGAAATTTCTTAGTTAAGCAAAAGTTATCTTAAAAATTAAGCATGACATTTTTTAGTAAATAAGAGTCCAAAATTCAAATGTAGACTGTCACGTATCGGTTGAAATGTTATCGACTATCGAATATCTATAATAATCGGAATGATAATATTGTTATCGGCTAGTGAGGCCGACGGGTTTGCCCTCGATCAATTTTGTATGATATTAATTTAGCAGTCGTCGAAAAAGAGCGAACGGGACATGTCGGCTCCGTATTATAGTGAAAATAAAATAATTTAATATTCTATTTGCTCAATTGCGTATAAGTTATTAAATTTAAAATAATAGCCTAATCAACCAGCTGAGTATCCGAAGTAACCAGTATCGGAAAGTTACAGTCCACTCCGCAACATAGACCATAAACAATATTTGTATTCTTATAAGTGCTAATCGTAATGAGTAAAGAGTAGGGATTAATAATAATCATAACAATAATAATAAATTAATAATTAATGAATCGAATGAATTATCGCTATTTCCCAAACCTCAATACAATAGCATAATATTTTTATGAATCATTTGATTTTCTCATGTTAACGTTTAAGTGTATATTTTGTTATAATCCTATTTGTTGTAATATATTTTTTTTCTGTCCCGGATCCAGCTTCCAAAATAACCCTCTATAAATCCTAATCCCTGGTTCATATACGATGTGTTAATGTGTTCATATTCTACATTTATAAATTTCTGTAGACTACTCAATTTGAAGTACCCGGAATTATCAGACTCAGCCGGGGTTACCAGTAGTGTGGCCGGGGAAAAGCGGTACAAAAAAATGACGGTGAACGGACAGGTCACCAACCTTAAAGAATTGTTGACGATATTTGGAAACAGGGAAGTTCAACCTTGGTCAATATTTAGTGACGCACCTGACGCCAGCGAGAAAACAATAAACTTAAGTGAGCGTCTTTTATTAATGGCACACATATGTAATAAGCCATTCATATCTACATATTATAGTAGGAGGTTGTTATTTATTAGACTCAATGGTGTACACAGATATTTACAATGGGAAGGGTTACATAATACATTACAATAAATTATT